GGAATCTTGACAATCAGAATCAGTAAAGAATCCTGTATAATTGTAAATATGACACTAAAATTTTTTAATTGTGAGATTAATTAACCAGCCATTTAGGTTCAGAAGCCAGCAAGTACAGTTTTACAGAGAAATCCAGCATGTAAGATTTTACTGGAATAAAATTTAAAGATCAAACATGTAGTATATATAATGTTTGAAATGGTAGCATTTTAGAATTTGCCGGTGGCTTCTATACCACTTTGTCTCAGTCTCCCCAGCACAACTGAGTTACCATACGAGTTGCAGACCAGCCAGCTGGAGGACTTGTTTGTGGTGATCATGGGAAAGGGAGGATGGTGCAACAAAGGAAGAACCCATGTTTGGCATTCCATTTCTTTCCCCTTTTTTTTTAATAAAGATATTACTTATTTATTTTTTCTTTTTTGGGGGGCAGTACTGAGGGTTGAACCCAGGACCTTGTGCATGCTAGGCACATACTCTACCACTGAGCTGTACCCGTCCCCTCTTTCCTTTTTTTTTTTAAATGAAATTTTGTTGATAGCTATCTGAGTGATTAGAAGGTAATTTTAAGCCATTCCCTTTCTTGAGCCATACGACTTCAGTGTTTCTAGTGCCTGCAGATGACCCCAATACTTTTGAGTGGGGATTAGTCATTCTAGTTCTTTGGTACTACTGCTGCTAAATTTAACACTAAAATGTAAATAAGCCTTAGATGTGCCAAAGATGGGCATTTTGCAGTGGAAAAGAAGCTAGATGTTGAATGTAGAATGAGAATTAAATCACTTCAACATAGGTAAGAATAAAAAGGCTGTTATTTAAAAAAAATTAATCACCTCTACTTCTCTGCAGTTCCTAGAGTTTTGTTTCAATGTTTATTTTGGTGCTGTATTTTTTAATATTTTATATCTGCTCTGAAATTTTATTTTAATTTTAAAATTAATGATTTTATTACAGAAGATATGAATTAAAGGGGAAATCACTAAAACTACTCTTAGCATTTTGTACTTCTTTTCACCACCTCTCCATGTAAAGTTAGCAATTTATGTTTACATACAATTTAAGAAACCTCAGGGATATGATGGATTTAATTATATAAAAATGTTAACCTCTTTGCATCAATTTTTAAAAAAAGCCCAAATGTAAAGGTAAATGCCAAATAAAAAATATTGGAATCAAAGGAAGGATATTAAGACTCTATCAGGCAAAATGTATGAAAACGTAAGTTATTAAAGGGGAAATGCAACTAGGAAACATGAAAAAATACTCAATTTCACTCGTTCTTAAAGAAAACTCAAAATAGGTCAGCAGTGAGGTTTTAAATCTCTTCTGTAGCTTGCATTAAAATATATATGTGTTTCTATTAAGTATCGATGAGATTTATTGAAATGGTTGTTTACTGTTGGTAGCAATATAAATTATTACAGCTCTTTGAAGATACAGCTTGTCAGTAACTAGCAAGAGCTTAAAACTACATTTTGATCTACTAATTCCACCTTTGGAAACCCAAACCTAAGAATATTCATTGTAACATTATTTCTACTATGAAAATTAGAAATAACCTAAATATCCAATAGTAGAATAATATTTAATTAACATGTGGTATATTTACTATGTGGAATATTTTGAGGCTTGGTTAAAATTGATTGTAAGGTCTTTTAATACATGAGTTGAGAGAAATGGGATACACAACTAAAAATTGTTACATACTCTAACAGGCATTAAGCTAGGGGTTTTATAACTGCTGTCTCATTTAAGCCTTCAGACAGCTTTGAAAGGTTAGACTAATAGCCTAAATTTTATGAAAGAGGTAGTAACTGAGAACTGAAGAAGGTAATTCACAAAACTGAGGTGAAGGTGTCATGATTTGAACACAAATTTGCTTCCAAAGCCAATACTCCTGTGTAACATAATGTATTAAAAAAAAAGTAGATTTTTAATTGTCCTTTAAAATAGTTTTGCAATCTTATAACATCTTTTGCTCTCTTTTTATTTAGAGAAATCTTCTTGATTTTTTTCTGTAGAATTCTTTTGGAGAATTCTACAAATAGGATCACTGTGTTGTAATTTACTGTGTGGAGAACTACTGAAAGTCTTCTGTATTTCGTACATACATTGAAAGAGTGCTTGACATTTTAATTTACATGATAATCCTTACCAGTACATACTGTAAATGGAGTTTTATTTCAGTAGATCAGGTTGGACCTGTGTGAAATTCACAGTACATATGATGAAATTTTGATTTATCACCTCTAGATCTTAGTATTTTTTTTTTTAGTTGACGTATACTCAGTTACAGTGTATTGATTTCTGGTGTACAGCATGTTTCAGTCATACATATACATACATATGCTTGTTTTTTTTTCATTATAGATTACTACAAGATATTGAATATAGTTCCCTGTGGCTAGATTTTTTTAAAGTGTTAAAATTATAGACCCCTCATTACTCAATACCTAAATATTTTAAAGAAAAATTCAATTTTTTCAGTCCAGTCTGTATTTCAGGTTTTTGCTAGATTCATTCTGTTGAAATTACAAGTATATGTAGTTAATCTCAAAATCTCGCTGATTTTCTAATATTTGATGGGAGCAAAACCTTTTTTGCTTTAAAGAAAATGATTTACAGCATTTTCTAAGATGTAGAGAGGCCTTAAAAATAAGATGCAGATTGTAAGACTCCTCAAAAATAGTGCAGAAAAAAATTACAAGTAAAATTTTTAAGTTCTTCTAAAATAACTGAATAAAAGAGAAGTGTAAAATTAACTTATAGCTTTTTCAGTCATCTTGGAGCCTGTGGAGGCTGCTGTCCAAGGCCATTTTTGCTGGCTGTAAGCAGGGTCTCTAGAACCAGAGGGAGCATACAGCTCTTCTTAAAATTGGAGGTGTTTATGCTTGAGAAGAAGCTGAATTCTATCTAGGCAAAAGCTGTGCTTATATGTACAAAGCAGAGAACACCACACTAATTCCTGGTGGAAAACTGAACAAAACCAGAGTAATCTGGGGAAAGGTAACTCGTGCTCACGGAAACAGTGGCATAGGTTTGTGTGCGAATTCTGAAGCAACCTTCCTGCTAAGGCCATTGGACACAATCCATATGAGGCTGTACCCCTCAAGGATTTAACTTTTTGAAAAGTTAATCAAAGTGTGAATTTGTTCTCTTGAAAAAAAATGAAGTTACAGAGGATTCATCACTTATTTTATTGGTTAATTTTTTCTTTAGTTCTTACTTTTTTGCTAATTTTTATCCTTTCCATATGGATCAAGCCACTGTAAAATATTCCAGAAGAACAAAGATTTTAATAAAGCATATTTTCAATTTTATGTGAATACTGATAACCATGAAAGTACAGTCTTCTCCATTCCGAGACTTTTTAAACAACATAAATAGAAAAATAACTTATTTTTGATTTTTAAAAAAGTTTATGTATTTAACTAATGTTTGTTATTTTTGTGCCAAGCACCATTCTAGTTGCTAAAAGAAAAAAAGTTATTCAAGAGTTCATGATCTAGTAGAGGAGTCAAACATACATTAATTCATCTTAGAAAACACAAGGCAAAGTAAACTAAACGGCATAACCTAAGGATAAAAATTAAAGGGATTATGTTTACCAGGGATCATGAATTTAGCATTTTTGTCTTGTGGAGTAGTTGAGTCAGAATTACTGAGGATGCTTTAAAAAAAGAGATTTTCCACACCCCACATCTTCTGAATTGTATTTAACATCATACTGCATTATTATACACCTTTCCCACGTAGATCGGGTCATTTCTTTGAACTCCTACAGAATGCATCATAGTATAAGCATAAACTTAAATTTTCTCCTTTCCATGGATAGGTTCTTTTCTTTTCTTTTCTTTTCTTTTCTTTTCTTTTCTTTTCTTTTCTTTTCTTTTCTTTTCTTTTTTTTGCTCCTCTACCAGTGAACATCCTTATATATGAGAATATATGTTTGTACTTAAGTATTTCTTTACATTTAAAGTAGTTTTGCTAGGTCGAAGGATATGCATAACTCTAATTTGCTGTCAAATTGCATCATCCCTCTAACCCCCCAAAAGTTTATACTCCAATCAGCAACATTCCTATGAGAGTGCCTCTCACCCACAGTTTTAGCGATAATTTAAATAATTTTTATAAAATGATAAATAGAAAGTCTTATTTTAATTTACATACATTTGCTTACTGCTGAAGTTGAACGTTTTAATGATTATTAATCATTTATAGTCCATGAATTGCTTGTTAATATTCTTTGCTCATTTTTCTAGTCTTTTTTTTAATAATTGTTTTGT